GGGTCGCCCCGCCCCCGCCACCATCGACACCGAGATGGCGGCGGCGGGGCCAGAGCGCCGCCCTTGGCGCGCGCCTCCCGGAGGACCCGGCGGGCGCTGGGCGGGAGAGCGGCGGCCCCGCCCCTCGGCGCCATGGCGGCCGCTCCGCTCCTAACGCGGGGCCCTCAGCGCCATGGCCGCTCCTCCTCACACGGCGCGGCGCCTGTGCCCCTTTTGCTCTCGCTCCCCGCGCCCCTCCGGGCTCCCTCAGGCCCGCTCCCGTTTCTCCGCTCGCAAACCCGGGCTGATCCCGGGAACGGCAGCTTTAGCCATGGTTCCTCAGGGTGGACGGGCAGCGGAGGAACGTGGCAGAGGAGCCAGGCTGCTGCTGCACGGCCACCTGCTCACAGCAGCTGTGCTCCCCACCTGTGCGCATTCCACTGGGACCTGGCTGGTTTTCTGTTCTACTCACACTGTTTGGCAAATAGCTGCTGTAATGCTTCCTCTGACTCCCAAGTTCAGAGTGCTGATCTCTGAATCTGCCCATCCAACACATGGAGCCTCCACAGGAAACATCCTTAGTCAATGATTAAGCTACTAAAAAACCACTGCAGGATCCAAGCTGCTACACACAGCTACAGAAAATTAACTTCCATTTACATATGGAATTCCTTCTGCTTTCTGGGATGTTGGCACCCAGAAACATCCGCTCCTGACAGCCACTGAGGGATCCCAAGGGGTATAAAACACCCCCATCACCATACAGAGACTCCTGACCTGGGCACCTGGAGAGCCTTTAGACAGCAGCAGGTGTGAGGTTTGGCTCTTTGGTTACGCTGATCCTGCACATTTTTTCCTCATGGATTGATAACGCAGGTTTCGGGTGGATTCCAGATAGATACAGTGTTTACTGAGATTAAGGAATGAAAACATGGGGGGAAAAACCTACCTAGGAATAATTCTACAGAATTATAGGATTCTGTCAAGTAATTTGGTTACATCTTTTAGGAGTCTATTCATTACACTTCTGGTGGCAACAGCTCAGGATAATGTTGGAAAACTTGCTATAAGCATAGTCAGCCTCTTTCTCCAGCTGTAAAACTGGGCAGTTTTAACACTTCACCCAGGAACACCACGAGGTAAAAAAACACAATCGATTCCTGTACAAAAGTACAAAACACCACAACTACGGGCAAGCAGGAATTCAGATTTTGTTCTGCAGCTACAGAGCTGCAATAAATGAAATCACATGGAGGGGAAATACCTTAGGGTTTGGTAGATCAAGCTGCACTGTGATTTATGCTCTGGGAAAAGCTACTACCATGCTTTTAATGGATAAATTTAGCTTCTAGGGAGTGCTCAAACCCAGGAGTTACACACCAACAGAGAGGGAACGTGCAAAAGAAGGAACTGCACAGCAGCAGTGAACAGGAGATGCCTGCCACAAGGAATCCTGCAGTGACACAGGTATTAAATTCCTCTTACACACATTTAGTAAGAGGCTTACACCACTCTAATGTAGTGGTGATGCAATCTGCACAACTTGAGCATCTACACTTCCAACCACAAAACCTCTACACCTCTGTGTTAAAGCCAATCAGAGGATCCACCTTTGCTGACTAAACATGTGTCACCTTCATCATCAGCACCTCAGTTCTTTCCTTGTTGTCTTCCTAATTCTTTTCCTTTTACAGCCTAATTTCTTTAATTTGGGAAATTTACTCCTGGGTTACTGGTCTGAATCTACATCATACTGGCAGCAAAGCAGGAGGAGCTTTTTTTGATTACAATGTGAATTTTGTGTCACTTTTGGCCTTCTCTCCTGTAATATGCCAGTAATTAGTGACTTGTTTGAAATGAAAACTCTGCTGGGAAATCCTAGAAGGGATTAATAGCCATCAATCACCTTCTAAAACAGTCTAATAAGCACTTTAGCTGTCTCTCCTCCTTAGACACTAAGGAAGCTTATGCTGAGATACCTACAAATCCCTCAGCACTAACTCTCCTTAAATTTTTTTCCACTTCCTTCCAAAAGTGGGTGGGTTAGTGCACTAACTTTCCTCTGCAGCTGACACATCTTATTTATGCCTTCCCTAATTAATGCTGGGGGTTTTTTTAACTTTGGCTTTCTAAAACAGGCCTCAGTTATATTTGTTGTGTCTCACACAAGGGTTGTTAGGTGTGACCCATAAAACCTTGTGACATGACATCACTGTTGTGTGGCACAATGTCCCCAGATCTGGGATGTCACTTCTCACCCACCTTCTCCTTAGCCACCGTTTGAAGATGCACAACTCTTAAACATAAACACAACACTTATTTTATGTTCATTCCTTCCCTCAGTTCTCCATCACTGATTTCTCTGAGTGAGCCAATTGCAGCAGCCAGCAAAAACTGCAAATGAGAGCCCACGGAAAGAGCATGGATGAAAGCAAAGGGGCAGGTCCTTTCCCCTCCTCAGTCTCTGGTGATTTGCTTGTATTTAACAGATAATTAATACATTTAAGTCAGAAGAGACTAATTTATGTTGGCTGTGCTCCAACTTTACCTTTTTTCTTTCAGTGGAAAAAGACCTCTGTCCTCAGAGCTCTGCACATCACAAAATAGGCACGTCAGGTGTCAAGGTAAGGCTTCTTCAGGACTCCTGATTCTCCAAGGCTCCTGATACTTATTTTCCACAAAGACTAGATAAACACAGAGAAATACTTTAATGAGGGTTAACCATGTTCACATAAATAAATAACCCCATTCTTTACAAACTTTCAGAATTTTCCCCCTCTCCAATTCTAGGCAAATTCCTTCCCTTCAATACAAGCATTTTTCTGAGTTCTCCTGGAATTAGTGACTTGGTTTGGCATTCACTCCACGTGGCTCCAAATATTAGTCATCAAAACACCTCTTTGAAATTAGGATTTAACAAATTTTAATTCATGTTTAAAATCTATAAACTGCACTTACAGTTATTATAGGTTTCTTTTAATCTCAGTTTTGTCATCTCGCCCCCCAAAAATTCAACTTCCCATGTTATTACTGCTTCATCACAGTAAGATTCTTGTAGAACTCTGGCATATGGAAGATGTATTTTGGGATAATTTCCCAAGAGCAAAGTAGTTGTGCATTTTAATACAACTTGAAAGTCACAGGAGTATCCTGGAAGGTTTTCCCTGAGCAATAAAGGAAAGGGCTTTTTCCAACTTTTGGGAGAATTATAAAGGTTTTAACAGAAGTCAGTGTTTGGTGCTAGGAAAAGAAGGAATGATGTAGGAAACCTTTTCCCCTGCATTGTTGCACAGCTTTGGATCTTCCTAGAGTATAAAATATGTATCATTTATTACTCAAGATACTGCTCAGTTCCCCAAACATGCAGAATTTTCATTGCACTCAGAACATCAGTAGGGGGAAAAAAAGGGTATGGATCAAGATTTCCATCCCTGGTGGTGTTCCAGGCCAGGCTGGACTGGGCTTGGAGCAGCCTTGTCCAGTGGAAGGTGTCTCTGCCCTCTATCACTTTAAAGCTATTCCTTTTCCTACCACTGTGGTTCCTGATGAAATTCTGCTGCCCATGATATTCTGCATGGAATCAGGACTTAAGATTTTGTTCTTTATGTGTCTCTTCCAACTCAGGATATTCTATTATCCTGATTATTTATTACATTGTAGGTATTCTCTCTTTCAGTGTAAGCACAGCTGTAATTGTGATTGTAATTGAAAGTTAATTTTGGAGCCTGGACTTTATTGCAGTTACAAAATCAGAAGTGAAAAGTGTACAGCTAGATCCACATTCCCCATCCGTGTGAGTGAAATTACATTTTCCTGAGGTGTATCGTTGGCAGCATTTCACACAGACAACTGTACATTTTAAGCCTGTTCTCCCTTTAAGTGTACAAATCGAGGATTTGTTGCAAAATGTGAAATATGCAAAATTTTCTGAAGGTTCTTTTTAAGTTTTAGGGAAGTTAATAAAGCTTGGTAAGAAGGATGTATCAATGATAGTGGACACAAAGAATGCAGAAATCATGGGCCACAAGGCCATCTGACAGAACTTCAAGATAAGGAACACACTAATAAAGCAAACTCAGCAATTGTTCTGAAATCAGCTCCAACTGGGTTAAAGGTAATTAGGGCAGGGGCAGATCGTGACCACTGATGGATCCAAAACACAAGACTGAGCATGCGGATTAAGCAACTTGTAGCCAACGAACATTCATTCATTTGCTAAAATGTATAAATAGTAAGAAATGTTGATAGTTGGTGTGTTGGCTGTGTGGATTTGCCACCCAGCACCGGTTTCTGCGCAGAACTGTAAATAAATCAAATACCTCGACTCTGTGTGTGGATTGGCTTCTTGTTCACCAGCTGCAAGAACCTATTTTGGCAACATCGCGTTCCTGCTTTATCTGCAGTGACCCACAAACCCCGGCGCGGGTTCATCAACGCCTGAGCAGCCGCCGCGCCTTTGGACACAGACCATCAATGACAGCTCCCAGCGCCGCCGAGCACACACGGGGAAGCTGCCGGGGCTGCACAGCGATACCGCAGGCTGTGCCCAGCCCGCTTCCCTGGCAGATGCCGGGGCCGCAGCTCCACGGCCGCTCCCTACAACCGCTGCTCGCACCGACCCCGCCGTGACCGCGCACGAGCCGCCGCCGCCGCCTCACACGGCGGTTCCTGCGCCCCTCGCGCCGGGCACGGCCCGGATCAGCCTCTGCCTCGGCTGCTCGCAGCGGGGCCGGCGCTCAGTGCCGTGAGGGGAGCGTGGAGCGGGCGCGCAGGGCAGGAGGAGGAGGAGGCCGGCGCGTCCCTCAGAGCCCCGGGTTCGCCATGGCTGCCCCCGCTGCCCCGGCTCCGCTCCGCGGCCGCGTGTTCTCGCCCGCTCCCAGCGCGCTGATTGGCCGCGAGCGCCGCTCTCGCGAGACCCGCGCGCCTGCGGCCCGGCGGAGGCGGCGGAGGCCCCGCGTTCGTGCGTCGGAGCGGCCCCGGGCGCGCGCGGTAAGATGGCGGCGGGGGGGCCGCGCCAGCGGGCCCCGATCGCTCCCGTGGCCCAGCGCCTCTGTGGCCCGCGCAGGGCCGGGCCGGGCCAGCGGGGGAAGCCGGCTCTGCGGCGAGCCGAGCCGGGCCGGGCCGCAGCAGCAGCGCGGGGTGGCGGGAGCCCCGTTCCCCCAGCGCGGTTGCGGGCGGCGGAACGCGGGGCCGGGAGCGATCGGGGCCCGGGCGGGTCGGGCTGCCGCTGTCGGAGCTGCCGGGTGCGGGCCGGCTTCGGCCGCGGGTGAGAGACGGGAGAACCTGTTGGAAGCGGCTGGCGAAGAGGAGTCGCGCTGCCGCTCGTATTGTGTGGCAGGGCTGGCGGTGCCTGTTGCTGTTGTTGTGGCCGCCTGTCCTCCTCTTTCGTTGCCCCCGTGGTCGTGACTTGGAGGTAGAAATCGCTACTCAACGCGGCTTTGGTAAAATGCTTTGCCTGCCAATCCGAACAGAAATATTGTCTAGAAAAATAGTGGAGATAACGTTTTAGTAGCGCTGACAGGAGAACTTTCAGGGACAGCGAAGCTGAGCTGGTGTAAAGCTTTGATTTGTACACTGGGCAATATATCGCGGACAGTTTTGTAGCTGTGCAATATAGGGAGCTGTCCGAAGTTTTGGTGAAGATTTAAAGCAGATATTGTTTACGTAGGCATGGCTATAAGTGTTTGTCACTGTCTTTCTGTCTGGCTGTCAAACTTTGATTCGCTGGTTTCACACTGATGCTGCATGTCCTGTGTAAATTCTGTACAAGATTTTTATGGAGTGGATTTAAGAGTAAGTGGAAGAAGATGGTATTTGAATTTTTTATTCTGAGGTTTCTGAAAGCAGCTTTACAGCCTGGCAAATAGATACGGGAGAGTGCAGGAATGAGGAGGAAAAAAATGCAAAAACTCTGGTTTAACATAAGTGTCAGTTTTGGATTATTAATTTAAATGAGCTCATAGAAAGCTCTAAAGATGGCAATAACACAATTCTTACACACATTAAACTTATTTCTTCTTGAATCATGTTAAATGAGATGCTTTTGTTTTGTAGTTGGAGTCCAGGATGAGTTATGCAGAAAAACCTGATGAAATCACGAAAGATGAATGGATGGAAAAGCTTAATAACTTACATATCCAGAGAGCAGACATGAACCGCCTTATCATGAACTACCTTGTCACAGGTAAAAACACCTCCTCATGCCTGGAGGCTCTTCATGTGTGTCATACTTTATCAGTTTGGGGTGGAATATGGAACTGGATGGAGTGGAATTAAGGGCTGTGAGAACTTAGTCGTTGCTGTTGGCTTCTCTTAGCAAAGCCCAGCTGCTCTGGTGTTCTCTTAGCTGCAGACTGACAAAGAATCAGAGACTGAGCAGTTCTCATGGAATACAGATGACATTTATGAGCCTGAACTCTTCTGTTAAATGCTAGAGAAAACAAAGTGTTTTCTGCAGTGCTGTAAACATGACCTGCTTCTCCGTGATGTCCTTTTTGTGCCATTGAAGCAGCTCAAGATAAGTTGCTGTTGTTAAATAACAGTCTGAAAGCTGCAAGAACAACTATCAGAAGCCAGTTTTTAACTGGGCAGAAAGATAAACTCTGAAAGGGCACTGTTGTCAAAATAATTTGAGACCAGAATATTAACCCCTTCAGCACACGGGCTGGCTTTGTACTTGGAACAACCCAAACCCCTGTGGAATTGTTGGCAGTAATTAGGTGCATGCCATCCCGGGAAGCTGTGCTAGGGCGGAGGCCTTTGTACCATCTACACCCCTGTTTACACTGAGCGTAGTGAGGCCTCTGGGTTGAAGGAAGAGCATCTCAGTGGGTGGTGTAAATCAGTTTTGTGTCTGTGAATGCAAGACCTGGGGTTGAAAAGAGCTGTTATAACCTGAAATACTACACAAGAAAGCAGAATTATATCTTCTTGTGTATCTTCTCAGAAGAACTGCTGGATCTGTGTAAACAGATCTGGGGCTGGAGGGCGAAGCAAAACCACCCACTTGAAAATGTGACTTTCACAATCTCATTTTGCAATAAGCACTGTGCTTTATTTAAGTATAAAACAGGCTTCCATGTTAAGAGGTGTTGGACTACAAGTTGCTTCCCTGGAGAGTGAGCATACATGAGTTCAGAATGAATTAAGCATTTACTCTAAAATGCCTTTTGGATAAATGAGGAGAATTTTTCACAATTTAGGGTTAATCTTTAAACCCCCAAATTGCACCAACAACACTCACATTAAACTGATAGGTTTTCTTCTAAAGTGTTTCATGCAATACATTCTATGGGTAAAATGTTCCTATTTCAGAGGGCTTTAAAGAAGCAGCAGAGAAATTTCGGATGGAGTCTGGAATTGAACCCAGCGTGGATTTAGAGACTCTGGATGAAAGAATAAAAATCCGTGAGATGATCTTGAAAGGGCAGATCCAGGAAGCCATTGCATTGATAAACAGCCTCCATCCAGAGCTGCTGGATACCAACAGATATCTCTACTTCCATTTGCAGGTGAGCACAGGTGGCAGACTTTTATCTTTGTCTTAGAGTTTGCTGAGAGAATGGGAAAAGTAGTGAAGAAATTCAGGTTATGTTAGGACCGAACAAGGATGCAGCTGTGGGTGTTCTTGGCATTTTTTGGTAGCAAGGGGAAACTTTGTGGCATGGTGCAGGAGCCACTATATACAGTTATTAACATGAAAACTTGTAACAGCAGCAGTGACCTTGTGACTTACCAGCTTCCAGTTGATGTTGGCCTGAATTCCTTTAGTAATCCATCTTCTCAAACCCTGGTACCAAAAGCACCAAGTTCTCTTTTTCAGTAGCTTTTGCAGCCAAGTTGCTGCTCCTTGTCTCACACATTGAGAAGAATTGACCTCAAACTGTCAAATTACAGATTAGTATTTGTCTCAAATTACACACCAGTGTCTGAATCTTCCAGGCTTGCAATAGTGAAGATTTGTTAATTTGTTGGGCTAATATTGCTGTGTCTTTCGTGTGTAGCAACAGCACTTGATTGAACTGATTCGGCAGCGTGAGACAGAGGCAGCTCTGGAATTTGCTCAGACCCAATTAGCAGAACAAGGGGAGGAGAGCAGGGAATGCCTGACAGAAATGGAGCGCACGCTGGCTCTGCTTGCCTTTGATAATCCCGAAGAATCACCATTTGGAGACTTGCTGAACATGATGCAGCGACAGAAGGTAGTCCTTTCTCAAAGGGAACTGATGTCTTTTATACGTATGTTATGAAAATAAAATCTAAATATTTTTGAAATGCTCAGAGAAAACTTATATAGTGATACGCAAAAGAACAGAAGTGTTTATTGAGCAAGATTTTAAAAATGGTGTTAATGTATTCCAAATGTATTCAACTGCTTGGCTCTCTTCCTTGCTTTCTCGAGGCTTATAGTCTGTGGAGCTTTGTCCTGGCCATTTCTGAGGAATTAGCACTCTAGGTGTGATCTTCCCAGTGTGACTTTAGCAGTGTTAATCGTATGAAAACTGTCACTGAACTCCAGTTTTTCTTTTCCAGGTATGGAGTGAGGTTAATCAAGCTGTTCTAGACTATGAAAATCGTGAATCAACACCCAAGTTGGCAAAATTACTGAAACTACTACTGTGGGCTCAGAATGAGCTGGACCAGAAGAAAGTGAAATACCCCAAAATGACAGACCTCAGCAAGGGGACGATTGAAGAGCCCAAGTAAAATGTGTGCAGATGGACATCAAAAAATCTTAGTACTGCACAGTATACATTTATATCAGTCTGTGACTGAAATATTTTTACTACAGTACAGCACTCAATTCAGATTTTTCAATGAACATCTAATTTGAAGGGAGAAAAGTCCCTTTTAAATGCTGCAAAAACTGCATTGAAAGGCGCTGTATCTCTTTGGAAGTCTGACTTAGGCTATGCACTATAATACATTTTTAAAAAAACAATTAAACAGGACAGGAAAAATAGCATTTTTAAAAGTACAGAACTCAAGCTTTCTAATTGGCTGCTGATGCCTAGTTTAGTGGCCAGTGAGTTAATATGGAGTTATATTGGCAACTGTTCAGTTTAACTGTCTCCTGTTTGAAATGTGTATATAGAACAGTGAATATTTTCTACCTTTAAGTTATAGCCAGATATACATTCCCCTTAAAAGTAACTGGTCAAGTTTTCATCTATAAACTTTGCAGTAAGGTCAACTTTTTGCTTAGGAAATAGTGTACAAACTTGTAAATCATAATTTAAGGACATTTGGTTTTTTTTCTTCCTTGTTTCTGACTTCTTGGTGCTTTATATGGTGAGAGCTATGTTCATAATGGATCAGTGACCCATCTTTTCAGGAGGAGTATTGATGGAAATAGGTTTTTTCTTAATATTCACAAATGACCAAAATGGCCCCAGAGGCATTTGAGGTTTTGGGTTTTTTTTTAACAGGGGCCTTTTCCCCCCTAGGTTAAATTTGCAGCAATTCCAGGTGGCTGCTACAGCTTTGAAGGCCACTGGATGTCTGTAAGCTGAAAGACTCATGTTAGGAAATCAAGTGGTGGGGAGGGATGCTTGTTGAAGCCTCTGATGCATCATCTTGTGCAGGATCTGCCTTCATGCTTGCTGAATAAGAATTGTAGTTTTAGAGCTACTTGGGCTGTTTTTATGCCTTGAGCTAAGCAAAGCAGGGCTGTCTAAAACCAGAAATTTGCATTTTGTCACTTCTTCCATACCTTTCTGAAGAGATGCAGTTCATCCTCATCTGTATTTGTTTACTGACTGTCCTCACTCCAGTTAGAACTATAGTTTTAATGTGAAGTCCAGACTTTCAAGTCAACAAATTGTAATCTTCTGGGTATGGGATGTTCTGGTCGAGTGATTGCAGCGCTGCACCCTGGTTTATACCCAGTGGTAGGAAGCACTAATCTTGCCAAATCTATCTCTAGATTTTTAGGTCTGTAGATCAAGTTTTGCCAAGCACAGAGCAAGCTGATGAGTGAAACAGTTTAACATTATGAGACACTGGCAGTTGTCACACCAGTCCCATACTGTACATAATCTAGTCTTGTATGGTAGGTATTACCCTGTAGAATGAAACTTAGTTTTCACTTAATTTTACTGGAATACTTAATGCATTAAACTGTATAAAGCTTTGCAGATACACCTGGCTTAGGGGAACTAACAAAACATGTTACTGATTGCATTACTGTGAACACTGTTTACTTGTGTAGCTATTTTTGGGGGGGAAGCCATTGTTTGTTAAGCAGCTGTGAGAGATGCAGAGCACCAAGGTTAAGCGAGATGATGGATGTAACAAAATCATTTGTTCCCATTTCTTACTGATTGTTCTGTTCTTCACTTTGAGGCATTTGTGGTAGGGAGGTCTTCAAGTTTATATATAACAAACAAGCTATCAGTAGCCCCCCAGCTACAGCAGCAGTTTGGCTTTCCTTCACCCAGGCTGGTTATTCTAACACCAAACTTTTAACAGTTGTGGGTTTGGTTGTTTTGGGGTTTTGTTGTTTTTTTTTTTTTCCTTTTGAAGTCGGTTGATGTCTGAAAACCATGTATAACTTTTAGTTTGTGAGAAACTGTATGGTTAATGTAACTTTGTTTAATAACAAACTGCAGAAACAAAACTGGAATAGCACTAATTTCTTTATGTAGAACTGATCAGCTTTTCCTCTCTGTTCTGACACTTGTGTTGTTGAATCTCCTGTAAAGCTTCTCCCGGGTGAAGTGGAAAGTGGTGCGGTTTTGTGGCACGATGAGCATTTTTCTCCATGAGAAATGCAGTATTACAGCCCTGGGTGAGAAGTTCACTGTCCTTCTAGAACGCTACCTTAATTCCATAGAGTATTTGGGCAATGATTGAGCATAGATTACTTGAATTTCCACTAGCTTGTTGTTTTTTTCCATTAAAAAATAAACACGTTTTTAAGGGGGTTAATATAAAATTAGTCTAGAACTATTTCACTTTGTTTTTATGAACATGCCACATTGATAAGCAGCTTTAATCTGTAAAGTTTTTGGTAACTGCAAGAAGATACTCGAAAGCTATGCATTTTAGAGAAAGCATAAAGGTAGTGATATTGGTACTTCTAAGGATCTTTATATTAGTGTATATAAAATAGTTTGCATATACAAATATAATATATAATCTGTTTGAAATATTCTTGAATGGTAGGGGCTGTGAAACATATTATAATTTATGGAAATATTGTACACAGTAAACAGATGTCTCAGTACACAAATGAATTTTTGTCATATGCATGAGAAGTGTCTTATTTGGTGACTACTAATGAATGGGCTTTTGTTAACCCATTTTTGTTAGATAACCACTTTAACAAATACTATTAAATGCCACTTTGATCAGTTTGCTTTAGTGTAAAAATACATATTTTGTTCCACTGAATTTAGAACAATATGAAAATAACTTTTGTAAGAAGATTTGTTCCAAACCCAACATTGGCAGACAGATCTGGTCATTAGAGGTGGTGCACTCATCCTCCCCCAGCCTTGTCTTTGGTGAAAGCAAATAAGATTTTTTCATCCATGCTATGGATGTGGAGAAGCTGGATTGTAAAATATCCTGTCTTATACCTCTGCAGAAAGGCTGCATAGCAAGTGTGTTTGATTAGGCTACAAATCTCCCTCCTTTTCCCAAAGCCATCACCTCCCTGTGACTGTCTTTGCTGTTCCCATGTTTTGTTTCTGCCTGTCAGATTTAAGCTAAGCTGTGGCTGCTTCTGTTGTACAAAGGAGGGATTTCGGAAGGGTGGGGGTTCACAGACTTTCCTGAAGATGAAGTTGTGGTGGTACTTGGAAAAATACTTACTGAACTCTTTAGTTTTGTATAGTTGGAAAAGCAGAGGCTGCTGCACAGAAACTTAACAGCAGAATTTTGAGTAAAGCATTTCCTCTCAAGACTTTTGGAGAGGCAAACCTACACCTTTAAGCCAGATAAAGTACCTCTCTCTCTTTAAGATGATTTCATTGAAACACTTTCAGCTTCTTCCACCCACATTAAAAGAAAAATTGAAAAGAATTCTGCCTTCTTTCCACTCCTTGTAAATACAGGAAAAGCCACTACATTATTCCAGGGTGATTTTATTGTTTTTAATTTGTAAAATTTATGCTTTGTATGCTTGAGTATAAGCTTGAAAGCATTACTTTAAAAAAATCCTTGACTAGCTGAGCGTTGTTTGACTTATTTCAAACCACCTTGTGTCCAAGTGGGTTGCAAAGCTCATTAAATGGAGTTGGATCCCTGTGTGTTGTGTCTTCAAATGGGGCTGCTGCTGTCAGCCACGGCTGAGAGCATCCTTGAGAGCCAGAATAGGATGTGGAGTCCTATTTGCCCTAAATCTGCCTGGAGGCTACAGGTTCTGACCTGCACTGTAGCTCTCTCTTCCCTCCAGAAGCGACACCATGTCAGGAATTGTTTCTGCTCTGCTGTCCTTAACAAAAAGGGACGAGGAGGGCTTGTAGCTTTTGTGTGAGAGATGGTGTCCCCAGCCCTGCTCGCTGCTGGGTGTGCTCAGCTGAGCACAGACAGAACACAGAGCTCCTGAACAGCACCCTCAAAAGGATTTGTACTTCTCCATGGGCACCTCGGGGTGCTACAAACTATTTTCATTCCTTTCTGCTCCCCTCCTGCCTTCACCTGATCAAGTTAAGCACAAAGTTGGTCAAACCACTGGTGGGCTGCACGTTGATGCTTTCAGGCACCCCAGACCACAGAGCCCTTCGTATTCTGTCATGCTGTTCGTGAGGATTGCAACATGATTCCAACAATAGTTACATGAGGATTCCAACATTATCCTGCTACCTTATCTCACCTGGATGAGTTGCTGCATGGAAGTTGCTGTTGATTTACAAGCAGGCAAAATTTGCCAACTTCTCTGATAATTTGCTTTTTTTTTTCAATTGCTGCCTAGTAATTTTGCCAAGTTGGATTATGTAGCAGTAGAAACCCACATGTTTTCTTTATTGTGTGGAGAAGTTGCATTGAAACTGTGCTGGGTTAGGGAGCTCTCAAGCTGCTGTCACTGTCCTTTCAGGAGACAACAATTGTCCTTCATGGAATGTATGAGCCTATTGTTCCTTTCAGGATTTGAACCTAATCTGTGCTTAACTTCATAAAATCTTCAAATAATTCAACCATTGTATGGGTGAACTACAGGGATAGTAAATGTCAGGTCAAATATTAACCCAATAATCTTTTGTTTGGTTTAATCTTTTGACAGATTAAGCCGAACACAGGAAAAATGAGAGGAGGTTGTGTTCTTCTGTAAAATTATTTTCTTTAGTCAGCACCTGTCCTCTGAGCTGATTCCATTTGTCATTTAATCAGCTTGGGAGAGGTTTGCTTATAGAAAATCATACAGCAGTAAAAGGAACCATGTCTGTGTGTTTACTCTTTATTTATGTGAATGTGATGGATGTTGCACTCAAACACTTTCAAGTGCAGCTGGTTTGGACAGTGAAAGTATCTTCTTATCTGAGAGGCAGATTAGTCAAACTCCTAATTGAAGAGGTGGCACTGAGCAAAACAAAAGAGTACAAAAATAATGAAAATTTGTGCTTGATTTCCAACTGGACTACTAGCTCACTGAAAGTATGATTCATTGTTGCAGTGTCAGTGTTGGAAGTGTTTGCACTCCTCAGCCCTGAGACTGAATACAGGATCCTTCATACCTGGCTGTGAGTTCATAAGTTTTCTGGATCTGTGGTTACTCTACCATGCCCAAGACCTCTTCAGTTCTTTCCTGAGCTTAGTGCATGGATTTCACTTCTGTAGTTACATCAGAGCCCATCTCCCCTCCTGTCTCAAGTTAACTGAACTCCAAACATACAAACAATTAAAAAGACCCAAAATACATTGTCAGTGGTTTATATTTTTGTCTGCAATTTGCCATGACTTGGCTCCCTCTTCTGGAAAAGGGGACAGTAGCAGAGCGAATAAAAATACTTCATGGTTTCATTTCCTGCCCAAATAAAGGGAGGAAAGCCTACAACTAAATGAAAACTTAGGTGGTTACTACACGTGGTTCCCCTCAGTCTCGACTTGCAGCAAAGCTCGTTGTATTTGTGTTCTCTGTGTGACTGTGCCTGACTATGCCACAGGCCTTTTGGGGAAGACCTCTTTTTTTTCTGAGGAAGAAATACCAAGGCAAAGAATAAAGTATGACTTGATTGTTGCTTTTTCAGCAACCTCCTTCTCTTGGAGCTGTCTTTGATGTGTAAGGAACCTTTTTGCTATTTCACTCTCAAAGGTTTAGCTCAATAATCAGCCTCCTAATTTATGTAGCAAACTTCATCAGGGGCCTGCCAAGGGATGGGAGAAGGATATTTGAATTACCTAAATATTAGTCTGCTAAAGGCTTCATTCCACCAAGGTCTGAGAGGTTTCTGGCTGCAGGAATAGCAGACAGGAGGTGTCTGCCGTGCACCTGCGTGTTTTGGGGCAGCCCAGCAGCTCTGGTGCCTTTCCCAGGGGCCATGCACGACCTTGCTCAGGCTGTTCGGGAGCTCCTCCATCCTTTGCTCACCTGAAGTTTTGTCGTTCCTGCTGCCAGGCTGCAATCGGCCACAGCATCACCTGAACGATGTCACAACAAGGCTCCTCCAGCCTGCTCGTTCATGATCTTTAAGTGAGTCACGAGTCCTTTTGTTGTGGACTGAGATAACCATCATTTAAATTATTTATTTCCATAAAGGAGTTTGATTATCTCTTTCAGATACAGCAAGGCAGCGCCTCTATCCAAGAGACATAAATCAAACTGTAACAACACTTATCCCTATTTATTTTACCTCGGAAGCGAATGTTATACTCGCTTCTAATCCTTAAAAAGCAGAAGCAGAGACTTTTCTGCCGGCAAACCCGCGAGAGCAGCGGGAGCGGGGAGCGATCCCCTGCCCAGGTACGGGAGCAGGAGAACAGACCGCGGTCCGATCCCTCTTTCCGTGCCCTCGCTGTGCCCGCTGGGGTGTCAGTAATGACCGGACGAGACGGAACGAGCGGAACCGCGCGGTTCGCCGGCGCCGCCACCTGCCCCTCCGCGGCTCGGGGGCTGCCCGGGGTCGCAGACCGGGACCGGCACCGGGCCGGGCGGGACTTCCCGGCACGGCGGGCGGGGGCGGCGGGAGGCGCTGACACGTGGCCGCGGCCCGGCGGGGGAGGGAGCCGGCGGCGGCCGCGATGTGAGCCGGGGAGGCGGAAGGCGCTGCCCGCATGGCCGCGGGCGGCGGCGGCCGGAATGCGCCCCTGGGCAGCGGCCCCCGCGACGGCATGAGGCGGGATGGCGGCACCGAGCCCTACTGGTCCAGGTAAGGCTGGAGCCTCTCCCGCTCCCGGGAAAGCCGCTCCGCTGCTGGCCGCGCTCTCCGGGACTCCCCGCGTGCCCCCGGCCGGTGCTCTCCCCGCATCCTCGGTCCCCGCAGCTGCTGGGAAAGATGCGGCTCCGGGATGGAGGGGGTCGGGCGGCCCGCAGCGCTCCCGGAGAGGGGATTTCCGAGGAGCTTGGTGCTCCCCGTCGGGCCGGGACCCTCCTGTCCCTGTCTCCGTCGCTGCCCTCCGGGAGGGACACGGTCCCACCGCCCCGGGCGGTCCCGCTGTCTCACTCTTCCCGACTGCAGCAGAGACGGTAGAAGGAAGGGGGAAGATAGGGAATTACTGTGAAAAAAAGAGGGAAAAAAAACCAGCTGCTGAGCTTATTTCTGGCCTGTAATCAGTGAATTATACACAAAACCGCTATGAGGTTCTTATCGAAGTGTTGCAGTGGGGATATTTGTACTGGTCGTAGTCATTAATTCAGATAAAGTCTGGAAAAGGAGCTGGGCAGCAGCTAGACAGCACGAGCTGCTGTTGATGCAAAGTCATTAAAATACTTAAAATGCAGTTAAACCGCCAGTGACCACTTCCAACAGCAGGGACACAGGCAAAGGCAGGGTGATGCAGTGTTCGGAGCGGGCTGGCACACCTGGGGCGGTGCTGCTCCTCTGCCACCCTGGCAAAGTCATCCAGCACCAAGACCTCAGGATCAGCCCCTTCTCCCACCTGAGGTGGGGTGAGATGATAATTCCAAAGTACCAGTGGGGCAGCTGGAATTCATGCTCAGAGGCTTTTCCAACCTGGACTCCCTGTGCTGGAGAAACCTGGCTCGGTTTCAGCTGGCCGATGTCTGGCTGCCACCGTGGCCAGCCCTGGGGCTCCCCTCTTCCCCTCGCCTTGGGGTCACGCCGTGCTGACCTCGCCCTGGCAGGAGAGCAGCGGGACAGCCACAGGACAGGTGGCACCCGTGCCAATGCACAGGGACAGGAGGCCAGGGGGAGGGATTGCCCCTTCCAGCAGCAATAGCCGCTGGATAAACTG